CAACTTAGCAGACTTGGAATGACAAGTCAGTGTGATAACGGATTTACTTTTTTTGTTCTCTAGAGTCTTGTCTGAAAGCAAACCCACTCCTGCGCCCTTGTGCTAAAGATCTTACTGAAAGGACGGAAGCCTTGGCGGTTGCACTTGATATCGATCTGTCAAAACCAGTTTCTAATGTTGATACTGCACTGCTTAGGAAATGGCCGGTTAGCGAAGTCCTCTGTTTTTTATTTGTTTGTTTTTCTCTATTGATTATTTATGGTCTGTTCCTCTGAGCCTGATTGCGTGTACTTTGTCCTTAACAGCACAAACACAATCTTTTCAAGATGTCACGTCACTAACTATAACTTCTCCTTCCGTCATAACTTGGGAAAAATTAAACACAGAGGAAAAAAAAAGAAGCAAATTTGCTATATTACCAAGTGGCTTGGCATCAAAGATTGCCGCAGCTTGAGGCGCTTGTGTTGGCTGCGGAAAGAAGCACCCACATGTCAGGCCCAGTAGTTCAGGCCATAATCGTATACAGCTATTTTCAATTATTAGGGACAGAAAGCAGCTGCTGGTGGATCATCAAATGCCGCGCCTCCGCGTCCGCCTCCACCAAGAGGTTCAGCAGTAGCTGAGGTAGTACGATAATATGTGGCTTTTCTAGGGAATTGGGATCTACTCTCCGTTTAGTTGTATCTGGAAGTGAGCTTTGTTCTACATCTACATTTTGTAGGAGGTGACGGAGCAGGCATCAGCAATGCTGGGAGCTCTCAAAGGTCAGGGACTGTCTTTGCTGAAAAATTTGAAGGACAAGTCCTCAGCAGTTGTTCAGAAAGTTCAGGTAAATTTTCTTTTTAGAATAAGTAATTTTTACAACATATCTTTTTCAGTTTTTTGAAGGGACTTTTCAGGCAAAACTTGCCCCACAAGAAGTCACATGGGTTACATCTAGGGTGTGTATTGTCCCTGTTGCTAGACACGTTCAAGATCTAGTTGACGATGATGAATGGAATGCCAGGGTTTCGTCATCTGGCAGACCTTACGTTATCTGTAATTTATCAGCAAGGTAATATTGGAAAATACATCTATATATTTTAGAATCTCAATTCAACCCCTTTTCACGCACTTTTCCAGATCGTTACACATTAGCCATCATGTGGAGCAAGTGCAATTTACGCTGCGTAACGTACGTCCTCAGGTGCATCCTGCTATTGAAACTATATTGAAAGTGAGCTGGAGCTTGTGTTATATTTTTTCTACCTTATTCTAAATAACGCATATTATAAATCATTGTAAGTAAGTCTAATTTTCTCAAGTATATTTTGCCATCAAAAGTTCGAACTTGGGTGACTTAAATTCTTAATTAGATTGGTCTTAAGACTACTTATTGCGCTATACTAATATATTCTAAAGCCTAGGTTGAATTAATTTGCTCTA